TGGAGGGGGTTGTCACAGCCTGGGGAGCACTCCCTGCTGGTTGTACTGTAAAGGCAGTGAAGTCTTATCCTCAAAGGAAGCACGGCCATGTCGGGAAACTTGGAGGACGCGGCTCACAACCTCTGACTTTGAGTCCGGGTGCCATCCCCCCCTCTGTGACGGGGAAAGACCTTAACCTCTCTGAGTCTTAGCTTCCTCTTCTTTAGAGCGAGACACTGGTAGCCGCTCTATGGCCAAGGGACAGGTTGTAGAAATTAAAACGGGTGTCATGTCCGCACTGTAACACGTGCATGAAGAATGAATGGTAGCTGTAGGGTGTATCAATGCAGATTTTCCTGGGGGTGGGGTACGGTGCCCCCACCCCTGCCCTGACCACTCCATTTAAAGTCACAAACCTCCCTTCCCCTTCTTGGTTTCTGATCCTGCTTCTCCTGTTCAACTTTATTTTTTCATAGCATTTAACACCTTCTAACACAGTGTAAAATCTCCTTCTTTATTATAATTATTTTTTACTGTGTCTCCTCTGTCCCAGGAAGGGATCTCCCCCAACAAAGGCAGGCTCTTTGCCTGTTTTGTTCGTTGATCTCTATACCCAGAGCATTTCCTGTCCCAGGCACATAGTAGATGTTCAATAAATACTGGTTAAACGAATGACTAGTTCTTTTTTTTTTTTTTTTTTTAATTTTTTTTTTAATTGTCTTTATTTTTGAGAGGCAGAGAGAGACAGAGTGTGAGTGGAGGAGGGGCAGAGAGAGAGGGAGACACAGAACCCAAAGCAGGCTCCAGGCTCTGAGCTGTCAGCACAGAGCGTGATGCAGGGCTCAAACTCACGAACCGTGAGATCATGACTGAGCTGAAGTCAGACGCTCAACCGACTGAGCCACCCAGGCACCCCCAAATGAGGAGTACTTGTATGCTGTGAGAAGCCAGTGAAAGTCTAACCTTTCTCCCCCTGGGTAGGGAGGACGGATCACATTCAAGTGACATTTTTGCGTAAAATTTCAGACCCTCTTCAGCCCATTCTTTGAGAATGCAAAGTGGGAAGGCCTGGACAAATAGAGATTATGGTGCTCCCCTCAGGTGGGAGCTTCCAAATCAAGGTACGGACAGGTATTGACCTGACACTATCCTGCCTTTGAATGCACTTGCACCAAAATTCCCAGGCATTTGGATTCTTTCTTATTTCTGTTTGAGAAATGGAATCTGAGACTCTTACAGAGTTTCAGGTCAGTGTTTAGTCACAAAGCTTGGGAAGCAAGTAGGACAGTTGTAGCAATTCTAATTGCCTAGTCCGTGTGTAAGGATCTGTAGACCAAAAAGTATTGATTTTTGTTTGGAGCGTTAACCCCAAATTATTTGTAAGTAAGTTGAATTAAATGTCAGTAGACAGGCTTTTTTTTTTTTTTTTTTTAACGGAACACGACGCATTATCCTCTCAGTTGTCCTTCTCAACTGCCTTTATATGTGAATCAAGCAGTAGCCAAGTATAAATTACAATTGCTAATAAAGTCACTTCATAAGATAAGCTGCTTCCATTCTTTTTTTTTTTAACACTTATTTGTTTTTGAGAGACAGAGATAGCGCGCGAGCGGGGGTGGGGCAGAGAGCGAGGGAGACACAGAATCCGAAGCAGGCTCCAGGCTCCGAGCTGTCAGCACAGAGCCCGACGCGGGGCTCGAACTCACAGACCGCGAGATCGTGACCTGAGCCGAAGTCGGACGCTTCACCGACAGAGCCCCCCAGACGCCCCAAGCTGCTTCCATTCTAACCTTGACTACATATAAGCTAAGACCCTTAAATTTGCAGCCCAAACGATCTGTTTTCAGACGGAAAGATCAGAGTAACCGGTGTGAATCGCTCCTCTTTTCAGATTCCCCTCGACGACTGTGGTGGTACCACTGGATTTGCTGGCTCCTCAGCGTGGTTGGGATCTTCTGTATTCTCTTAGCGCATGACCACTACACTGTGGACGTGGTGGTGGCGTATTACATCACCACAAGACTCTTCTGGTGGTACCACACTATGGCCAATCAGCAAGTGAGTTTTCCCCTTGTCTGATTACAGCTTCTCTCAATGCCTGGCCTGGCGGTGCTGGCATGGGGGCAGGGGGACGTGCAGAGAACCCACGGATGTCTTAGGCCTCTCTCCAGGGGGGCTAGGCAACTGGGATTGCGTTGTCTTTCGTGATGCTGAGCCACTTCGCAACAAAAAATGAGCAAGAAATGTGTTAGTACAGTGACACAGAGATTGCATCCTTCTAGAACAGGTATCACCGTCCCTGTCCCTGACAAATGCCTTCCAAGCTGGGCCCCCCTGCTGTTTGATTGGCACCCCTTCCCCCTTCTCCTGGCCTGGGCCCCTGAGCAGCCGAACGCTTAACTTCCATCTCAGAAGAGTAACGGAGACACTCACTGGGGCGCGCGCACTTACAGACAAGAGATCGAGGAAGCCACGCGTTCTCCGTGCGCTCCCGGAGTTGGAGTTCTTTGCTCTCCTGCTAGGGGGCGGCCTGGTTAGCACACGAGTGCAGAGTGGGGGCGTGCGTGCGAAACTGGGGTACGTGGGTGGACACAAGGCCATTCCGGGGTCCTTTGTGAATTGTAATTAGGAAAATACATCCGCTTAAAGTGGAAGATCGTTAGAAAAGTACATATGTTCGTTTGGGGGCCCATGAATTGCTCTCCCTGACCTGGTTTCCTGTCTTTGTCGTCATAGGTGCTCAAAGAAGCTTCCCAGATGAACCTCCTGGCTAGGGTGTGGTGGTATAGGCCATTTCAGTACTTTGAAAAGAATGTCCAAGGAATCGTACCTCGATCTTACCACTGGCCCTTCCCCTGGCCGGTGGTCCACCTCGGGAGGCAGGTGAAATACAGCCGCTTGGTGAACGACACATAACGGCCGCACCAGGCGGGGGACAAGGACCCTTTCCAAGTGCTGAGAACTCCATTGAGAGCAGACGCCATAAACAGACTATCCCGTTATCTTTCAGCCGTTTCCTTGACTTAACCTATTGAGTTACCTGGTCAGCACTGTGATCTTTTTTTCTCTCCAAAGGACCTGCGTGGGACAACAATAAAGAAAACGTAACCTATCATGCACTGCACACATTTCCTGTTCGTGAGTCCGGGGTTCCGCATAAGCTGCATCACCACGTTCCTTTGTATACGATGCAACAGCATAAATGTAAGCTTTTCTATCATCCGTTCTGGTCTTTCCAGTCACATCTGGAAAATAAAGCGTATTATTTTCTTGGGAAAACATACTTTTCATATCTCTTGCCCCAAAGATTGGGCTGTAAGCCATTTTCTAGCAAATGTCTCTATGAAGGTTTCTAAGTACCTGAATGGGGTTCGATTCTGAAATCTTTCTACCTGTTGCACCGCTATTCAAATAAAAAATGACAGACACAGAAAGGTGTGGTAACTTTGGGTTTTGTAAAAAGCAGAGAGAGTGTGTCAAAAAGTGCAAAAAAAAAAAAAAAGATTCTGTTATAAAGTGATTTTCTAAGTATTTCCTAACTTTATTTTTCAAAATGATGTTATGAAAACCAAATTTCAAGATTTTTACATGTCAGAGAGAAGAGAGTTAAAATTAAAAAAAAAAAATGCTTCTTGGGAGAGAAATTTGTCTATGTTTCTAGTGCCTTTCTTGTCTTGATTGTATGGTCAGTAGGCAATCTTAAATGTTTTTATTTAAAATAAAATATTCCATGAAAATATAAATGTATGTATACACTACTAAATTTTGCATTTATAGCTAAATTAAATCTGAAGACTGCTTATGGTTTTTAAATTGCTATGAATTAACGAATGGGGGAGTTAATTAGAAAATCAGAGCCCTGTTCCCATATTGTGAGCAGGTGGCAATGACATGTACCACTTAAATTATTTTATCATCTATTTGGTGGTTCGATTTTAACTATACAGTGAAAACAGCCATGAATACTTTGTTTTTAAAAAGAGAGTTTTGAAAATGATCACTTAACTAAAACTTGAAAGCTATAAATTAGTTATCCATACTCTGATGACAATTTTGTTGGTGAACAACAAAACAGAGATCTATTTCTTTAAAATGTATTTGTGCAGAAACTGCATGTATCTCTAAGTTTTACTCCTAACAGAAGTATGTTTGGGGAAGTATTCTATTCCATACTTGCCAATGTGGAGAACAAAATAGTTTTTTAAGAATGAAGAAGTATATATATCCATTCTGTATTTTACGTGCAGCAGAATTATCTTCCGTAGGGTTTTTTTTTTTTCCTGTGTATTCACAAGGTGATATTTGTATTGTAAAACAATAATGGTGAAGGAAATAAAAAGGCTTTTAAAATTTTGTTTGTTTTAAATATTTGTAAAGTTATTATTATTCCAGAGAGTATACTGATATCTTAACAGCTTACCTAGACCATAAATTAATCAAAATGCACTTTTTAATAAAACCTGATACTTAAAACATAAATGGCTGTTACTCCTGATGTGTTCACATCCTTCCCAGAGGTCGTAAACGAAGTCATTAAAGCAAGGTAAAAACCTGAGTTGTGGGATGTCTTCCCGGAGTTTGAGACAGGGCCTGCGGCAATCATGTTTCTTTCCCCTTGAGATTTCTTAAAATGTGTGAGTGGGTTTTTTTTTTTTTTTTTGGTTTTTTGTTTTTTTTCAAAAGTACACCAAAAGAATCACACAGGTAAGTTAATTTCAAAATGCAGACAGACCACCTTGCTCCAGATGTAAAACTTGGGTGGTGTCCCGCCTGGGGCTCCGGCCGTGTGTCTCACTCGGAGGACCAGAATCCTGGGATGGGTTTCTAGCACAGCCTCTCCCGCACTTGGACTCTTGGGCGAGTGTTGCGAATTGAAAGGGAAAGCACCTTGAGTAATGAAAACGCGTCACTGGCACGTGCTAAACATTGGATCTTTCTTCCTAAGTCAAAGCAGTTTTATTTAAAAAAAAAAAAAAGATTATTACAGGTTTGCATACTACATAGGTACTAAGAAATTCATTCACTAATTTCTCTTCATGCCGGACGGCACCGGTTTGTGAATGGACATACCGTGTGGCTCCCGGGTCTGAAGATCCCAGGAAGGATAGAGAAACCTTGTGTTGTGCAGAATTGCAGTACACTTGGTGGGGTCTGCCTGAATGAGGACATGTGCTTTTCTGTCCTTTCGTTTGGTAAGACAGTACCTCCTAAGGACAGTAGCTTCTTTACTTGGCTCTCGTATGAGCTGGGCATTCTTTACACGCGCTATCTTGTTAATGGCCACACAGCCACAGGGTTAATGATTACCCCATTTCGTGGGAGGCGACTCAGAGAAGTTGAATAAACCTCCCAAGGTCATGCAGCCGGTAAGTGGTGAAACTCTGATTGGAGTGCAGGTCTCCACCCCTCCTCACCACCCTGCACGCCCCCAAATGCTGTGAGTGTTCGTAAATTCTTCCGCAGGAGTCAGCGGTGGGAGACATCGGTGCCCGTGGCGGTAAGGCCAAGTAGAATGACTCTTCGTACGGACTGAGTGCCAGGAAATCCACCTCATGAGGTATGAGAGACTAATTTTGCCAGTTTCCTAATTGCTAAATGTTTCATTTGTCTCCCCAGCAAATACCTAAATTGATCAACGTGATAAAGATCTCAAAAACTTTATAAACATCACATAAAACGAGAATACCTCCTTGCTTTAATTTGACTGCCATTGTACAAAAAGTCAACCAGGTGTTGAGGTAACCTTCGGGAAGTAGAATGTGCTACCTGGGGCCCGTGTTACTGATGTCCTTTATTTTTCTCTCCCTTTGGTCCGGAAACTTACTCTGAACAAACCCAGACTTGAAATTGTGCCTGTCAGCGCCTTAGGGTTCTTACGTGTCTTTTGGTTCAGGTTACAAGAAAATTAAGCGAGTCCTGCTGGGTCCAGACTCCGGCTCTTAGAGGTCAGAGGTGGGCATGGTCCTCGAGACACAGGCCGAGTGAGGGGACGTTGCCCGAAGCTGGACAAGGGAGGAACAGGATTGGGACATCGCCCGGCTTACTATTGGTGAAGATACGGAGTGTGGGTTTAGCACACGAGTTAACGCGTGTTGCATGTGTGAGGAGTCCTTCGAGTTCGTGAGGGCTGGCATGGCCCTGGTGTCATCCAGCATCTAGTGACTGAGCAGATTTAGAAATGCCCTTGAGGATTTGTGACGTATGAATCACAGCATCTGACGTGTACCACCTGGTCCACAGGAATAGTGCTTATCCAGAGGATCCATTAGCCATCAGCACACCGTGGTCGGTGGGTGCAAAGATTGGAGTCTCTCTCGAGGATTCTTGGGGGCAGGTTTGCTAAAGATTTGAAGACAGATCAATGAGATGGGCAGACTCCACGTTTCTCCTAGCTAAAAAAAAAGGGGAGGGGAGGGCGCCTGGGTGGCTCGGTCGGTTGAGCGTCCGACTTCAGCTCAGGTCGTGATCTCACGGTTCGTGGGCTCCAGCCCCGCGTCAAGCTCTGTGCTGACAGCTCAGAGCCCGGAGCCCGCTTCACTGACCTTCCCCACTTGTGCTCTGTCTCTCTCTCTCAAAAATAAACAAAAGCAGGGAGTCCCAATTCAGAGGCTGTACAGCGTCCAGCATCCAGGTTCCTGTGTTGAAGGATGTGTAGGGTGCGGCTTCCGGGGCGGGAATGGCATTCCACATGAGGATAGGGAAGGTTCTGGCTCCCTGGAGGGGGCCGGCCCAGAGTTTTCTCCCAGCCCTACGGTGGCCTAGAGCCATGTGTGTTTTGACGGTCTCTTGTTGGGCACATAGACGTTAAAATTGCTATGTCTTCTTGGAGATTTGACCCCTTTATCATTATGTCATCTCTCTATTCCTGAGGATATTCTTGTGAAGCGTGCTTTGTCCGAAGTTAAAATAACAACTTCAGCTTTCTTCTGATTAGTGTTAGTATGGTATATATCTTTCTCCACCCCTTTATTTTTAACCTGTCTGGATCTTTTTTTTTTCATTTTTAAATTTTTTT